CACACCCCCTAAACCTCCCCCCCCCGCAGAGGGATTTCGGGAGGGAGGACACCCCACATTCCCACAACAACCAAGGTTTGAGGAACACTGGCGTAGAGATTGCATCCAACTCTTTGAGAACGCCAGCTATCCCCTTCCTTTTTTTTTCTTTTTAAAAAAAGCCAGGTTTCTAGATCATATGGAGGGGAGGACCCACTGATGAATCTGGGAGCAATGCTGTTGTGGGTCTGAGAAATTAGTTGATACAGCCGAATAGCTGGGCTCCTGTAATTTTATCCCTCCCACAGTTAGCTAAACCAAGAACATGATGGGAAAGAGGAACAGTGGCAGAATGTGGAATGCAATGCACAGATGTATATGTACATATGTGCACATGCACACACTGACCAAAGAAGAGAGAGAGAGAGAAGTAAATTACCTTGAATCTATGGAAACAGGCAATCTATCCAACTTTGCAATACATTTTTTTTTATCACATCCTGCCTTCTGGGGATGGGGATCCCAGGAATCCCACCATGAAGTCCCCTGGGGAGCCTCTGTGGCTGAGTAGGGACCAGAATCTGGGTCTCCCAACTCCTAGTCCAGCCCTTCCCCACTACACCTGATTGGCTCTTGAACTGAGAGGGAGGGACTAGCCCAGAATCCCCCAGGAAGGTAGACTTCAACCCTGGTCTCCCTCCTCCTGGTCTAGGACCCTCACCACTATCAGCCTGTCTCTTGGGTGAGAGGGAGGGACTGGCCAGTCTCTGCCCCAAAGAGCTTGCAGTGCCAAGGTCAACGGGGCCATTGCAACTGGTGCTCCGACCTCTCCCTGCTCCTCCATTTCCAGGGACCGTGGTGCTGGACAGCTCAGTGCATCGCTACGTCATCAACGGCCTGGCCCCCGGTGCCATCGTGAGGGTGTACATGGTGACTGCCAATGAAGGTGGGAGCACCAGAGGCTCGATGCTGTCCATCCGCACCAAGAACTACGGTGAGCAAAACCAGGATTGTTTGCCAGAAGCTAGATAAACCATGGTACAAGGGAGCTCAGACTGGATGGAGACCATGTACACACCCTTTATATTATTCCGATTTCCAGGCAGTAGATTAAAGTGGGGCACAAGCGAAGTCTACCCCTCCCCCAACATCCTCTGGATTTCCAAGAGCGTCTCTGACCCCAGATGTGTTCTTAGCAAATAAAAATGATTGGTGACTGCAGCCTGGCACTTAATATTATCTGGACAATATTTTTATGTCATTTTATCTGTCTGCAAGCCCCAGAGTCATATATATGACATGGGCAGCTATATAAATCAAATAGAGAGATGAGAGAGAGAGGGAGAGAGGGAGAGAGGGAGAGAGGGAGAGATACAATAGTTGGATGGATGGTTGATTAGAGAGATGGATGGAAAAGAGGAGAAGGGAAGGGAAGGGAGGAGG